TGTAATTTAATATTTTGTTGCAATTTCAATCATTCGAGGACTGAATTTGCAACAGAATGTCAAAACTTTAAATTTACAGGACTTAAAATTCCAAAATTACATATTTGAGATAATTTTATATTAGCAATTTAAATCTTATAATTTAAAATTTTGTTGCAATTTGAAGGACTGAAATTGCAGCAAAATATGAAATTACATGGCTTAAATTGCTATATATCACTCTAGTGGTGACCTACATTCCTATCTTCATAATATAATAGGACCAAAATTGCATTATTGCCTATTATTTCGTATTAACCGGAAAAGAAACACAACTTACTGTATTTTCGAACAGGCCCTGGATTGGACTTGCCGGCACACTTTTCGCCGATAGATTTTCCGATGGGTAATGCAGCCACCGGATTCTTCGTTTTGTTTGCAATGATTGCTAGTGTGGTTGGGGTGGCCTCGGCAATTTCGGGTCTGAACCTTATGCGTTATTGGGATGCCGATAGCATGTCGGCTGCCGCCACTGCAGCCACCATTGCCTGGACTCTTACACTTCTTGCCATGGGGTAACAAACTACAATGAAATTACAAATCACCCCTAAAATCTAGCCTAATTGCTTAAGAATCTCAATTTGGTATAATTTTTACAGGTTTGCTTGCAAAGAGATTGAGCTGCATATCAGGAATGCCAGCTTGGTGAGTTGGGTGAATACTGATATTCTTGTTGTGAATAGAGTTGTTAAACGAAACGAACTGCTCGTGAGCTTGTTTAGTTAACGAGCCGAGCTAATATCGTTCCATTACAGCTCAAAATTAGGGAATTTCATAAAATTTTCTACAAATCGGCTCATTAAAACTCGATAATTAGGGATTTTCATATAATTTTCTATAGATCGGCTCATTAAAACTACCTTAACTTAACTAGATAAAAGCTCAAGCCTAAACTCGAGTTCAAGAGCTTGAGCTCAATTCGCTACTCGATTATATTTTTGTTAAGTTATATTTTTGTTGTGTGTATTTACAGAGTCGAGCTAGTATAGCCTCATTACGGCTCGAAAAGAGGGATTTTAATGTGATTTTCTATAGATCATCTCGTTAAGACTCGAGTTCGGGTTAGCTAGATAAAAGCACGAGCCCGGACTCGAGTATCAGGAGCTTGAGCTTAGTTTTGGCTACTCAACTATATTTTTGTTGTGTGTACTTACAGAGAACAATGGAGGCCTTTATGATTATACTTTCGGCTACTCAGCTCTTTTACATAGCAGCCATCCATGGAGCTGCTTCCAGGAGGAGAACTTGAACCAGAGAGAGAGAGAGAGAGAGAGAGAGAGAGAGAGAGAGAGAGAGAGAGAGAGAGAGATGTATTTTTCTTCTGTTTTCCTTGTGTTTCTCCAAATTTCAAAATACATGTTTTTTTTTTTCCTTTTAACCTTTAAATGTTCTGTTCAATTTGTACCAACAGCACAACCTATATGATTCAGTAAATTGAGATTTGAGAACAAATTCAAGAGTGACAAAATCCAACTGTCAGATTTACAATGTAATAATATGACTTTACTGACAAAGCAAAACTCATGGTAAGAAACTATTATGGATTGACAAAGGCAAGGAATTCATAAAGTTGACACTTTAACAACAGTAACTTGAACTCGAAATAAAGGGATAAAAAAGCCAAAAAAAAAAAAAG